CCATTTCTAGCTAATCTGGGCTCTCCCATATGGTCCCCTGTCGTGACACATCTAATCAAAGCAGCCGTACGGGGGGGGTCTGGACTTCACTCCGTGTTTGTCTCAACAGTCTCCGTGGTCCCGTCGGCCACTCTGCGTGCTCACACCCGCATTCGCTGACCTTGACATTCCTCTACGTTCTCACATTTTCCTGCATAAATGATATCTAAAACCAGGCCACAGCACTGAATCTGTCAGAAACTGCGGTTCAGGAGGCTGACCAAAGTGCAGTGACGATGCCGGTGGGGCGTGGGGTCTTTGGCAGCAGTAGACCCCGCCCAGGCCCCATGATGAGGCCGCCATCGTTAATGAGCTCCTAATACCCCGGGGCCCCCGGGGTAACGGCTGATTTCTCCTGGATAGCGGCTCTTCATTAAATGTTGATTTTCTGTCGCGAGGAATCCCTACCAATTTAACAGCGGCCATTTTCTGAGCCCATGGCTCTCTTCATTCGTTTATTTGGTTTATTTCATCACTTATTTAATGCGCGGCACAATTTTTTATCGTTAATGGCAGTACGGCGATCCAGCAAGCGCAGACGGGCTCCGTGCACCCCGCCCCGCTGGGCTCTCACTGAGTTCCTGACAAGGCGGCCGGCTCCACAGTCGGGTGATTGATTGGGAGCGGCTGAGCTAAGAAAAAATCCAAACTCAATCTGGGGGGAGGCCCGGGATGATCAGAGACAGCCTCCCGCCTCTCAGGGACTCACTTTCTGTTTACATGCTCCAGGATCGAAGATGACAGTGCAGATCCATCCAGGTGTTGCGCTGTAACTCCCAGAATTCCCTTCTCCCTTTTTCGATGTTCTCTGAGATGACAATTTGGCTGTTACCACCATCACCACGAAGGGCTTTTCGTGTCTCTACGCTTCGGGGCTCTCTCTCTGTCCTGCTTTTATTTTGACTCGTCCTCTTCCTCCCCGTATTATTTCTGCAGAATGTTCTACAGTGACAGCGTGGCTATGTGGGGAAGTGAGCAGAGAGGCGGGGTACAGGAGAAGGCTCTGAAATCTGTGGTCTCGCTGCCCTCAGCCACTCACCAGTGCAGAGGGTGGACTGACATGCGTTAATGGAGGGGGATCTGAGGCAACTGGAGGTCCCAGTGGAGATAGAACCCTGAAGTAGGGTGGGGTGGCACCAGTACAGCTGTTTAGATGGAATAATAAAAAAAAATCTGAATTTGTTTCAGACTGGTTAACAAAAACCACAAAGGTGATACCTGTTTGTTAGGCTTTTATTTTGAACATGCCAGTGAGGCAGCTAACATAAGGAATAAAAGTGACACCAATTTGTGAGGCCTATATTTTGAAGCTCGGTTTCATACATGTCAGCAAGGTGGCTAACAGGAGCCATTAAAGTGACTGCCATTTTTGAAGCTTTTATTTTGAAGCTCTGGCTTTTACATGTCAGTGAGGCAGCTAACAGGAAGTATAAAAGTGAGATATTTATGAGGCTTTTATTTTGAAGATGGGTCTTGCCCATGTTGCAGAGGCAGCTAAAGAAGACATAAAAGAGACTTTCCGTGTTGGTGAAGTAGTTAATGGGAGGAGTAATTGTGACACCTGTTTGTGAGGCTTTTATTTTGAAGCTGGGTCTTGTATATGTCAGTAAGGGGACTAACAGGTGGTGTAAAAGTGGCCCTGGTTGTGAGGCTTTTATTTTGATGTTTCCCACTTCACCATCCCACTTTCATCAGCATCAGAGCTGTGGCCGCCTTGTGTAGCCGGGGGTTATCCGCATACTGTAATGCCTGTGCTCAGCACGTCATCTGTGTTGAACAGGCCTGCATTTCCACATCACGCTTTTTCCTCTGTCTGTGATGCCTAACAGGTGCCAGCTGAAATAAAAAGGCTCAACATCGTTTGCTCCTGAAATTATTGCATGAGACTGAGACTGGTCATCAGAGTTTGGTGGGGGTGGGGGTCTTTGGCTCTAAGTCCAGGCCATGGTGCTTGTACACGCGTGTCCCTGTGCTGGTATTTATGCCCACCCGCATGCCAGCAGCCCGCTGTGATGAGCCTGCTGGGGGCGCCATGTTAACCAGGAAGCCAGCCGGCCTGCCAGATGTTCCATCTCTGCTCGGGCCTGTCGGAGATGATGCCCCAGAGTGCCACCCAGTGGAAAGAGGGAGTCACTTCTCCAAAAACAGGCCCCCCACTGTGAGCCCGGTTCCGGTACCAGCATCATGGGCCTTACGTAGGATATTAACACGTGGAGAGGATTCTGGAAGGTTGCCGGGCCGTTCCTGGTTAGGCTACATTCATGGACAGGCTGCATGCATCTGCGGACCCTATGGATGACCGGGCTCGTCTTGGTCAGTGTGCCAGCTCTGTGGAGAAGGTGCAAATCCTGGAATGAGGAAGTGCAGTTGTACTCTTACCCAGGTTTGTTAACCGTGCTTTGCTTAGCATCCAGCTGAAATGAGGCGGCGATGGAGAAGGTCAAGACATGCCACTCATTCTGAGCTGAATTACGAGAATAAATAATGTGCGCTGATGTCGCTAATTAACGTTTTAGTGGGCTCGCCGCGTCCCGTCATGACTGCGAGCTACTGCAGGAGGGCGGGTCCGGCGGATGCAAAATGCCAGAGGAAAGGTCGGCTCCGACGGGGTGATCCATGGCGCAGGACAGCGGGAGCCGCTCGCACCATGATCACAAAGGTCAGGCCACATCAGTTACAAGCCCCCTAGAGGACGAGGAGGGAATTTCCGCCCTTTTTGGTTGGTTGCAGGTCTGAGTGTTCCTATCCAGATAAGAATATCGGAAGCTGAATTTGTGGGTCACGGGGGGGGGGGGGTGCTTTTGAGAGCGTCTCATGTACAGTGTCCTAAACCCTAGAAGAGAAACTGCTGTGATTTGGTAATCGGTATAGAGACTAAATGATTTCACATTTAAAAGATTGACACATGAGTAAAAGCAAAGCAGAACACCTCCCCCCCCCGCCCCCCCAAAAAAAGCACCATAATAAATAACAGCA